TTTGCTTCCAGTGAATTTTGTTATTATAGCATTAGCGGTTTAGGAGATAGGCACATTAAACCTATTAGAGGCGGGACCACGCCCACTTAAAAAAAAAATTTTAACTGCAGATGCCCCTCCCTAATGTGATTTTTTGTACCAAATAACAGTCTTGTATCTTAGCTTAGTTATGGCAATGTATTTGTTTTTGATTAATGGCGTTTTGTGGGCGTGGCAGTGGTTCAATTACGCCCATCTGCAATACCAACCGTCTCACGGTACCAAGAAATATGTCAAGTTTCATAAAGATATCTCAATTTTTACTCAAGTTAGAGCTTTCACGGACGGACGGACGGACAGACAGTCACCCGGATTTCAACTCGTCTCTTCATCCTAATCATTTATATAAGGTTGTCAAATATCTCCCTTCCGCTTTTTTGCTCTTCATTCAATGCTTTATAAAAAGTGTTACAGTGATGATGAAAATTTTCCAATATACCAAACAAGGAAGACCAAGGAACAATAATAGAGCAAACTCATAACAGAGCGCACAGGGGCTTTGACGAAAATATTAAACAAATTTCATCTTTTGACTATTGGCCAAAAATGCATAAACAATTTAAAGAATACATTAGAAATTGTGAAATTTGTAATAAAAATAAATATGATAGACATCCCATAAAAATACCTAAGAGGGAATACAAATTCACATACAATAGATATATTTAATGCACAATCATTAAAATTCACTATATGTATCGATAGTTATTCAAAGTTTTTGATTATTAAACAAATTGAAGATAAGAACATTTTAGAAGATAAAGTGTTAGAGATATTACAAGGGTTCCCTAATGTAAAGAGAATAACAATTGATAATGAAGCAGGATTTACTACGGTACAATTTAAATCCCTGATGCAGAGGCTTCAGATTGAAATTTATTTCTGCAACCCAAATCATAGGACCACAAATGGTCAGATAGAGAGGGTACATTTAACAATAATTGAAATATCACGATGTATAAAACAAGAATATAATTTAATCAGCTTTTCGGAATCAATATATAGAGCCGCTCACAAATACAATAAAATTATACATTCGGTAACTGATAAGAAACCATTCGAAGTCCTCTATAATAAGGTCTCTCATGATAATTTACCGGACAAACTCTTATTAGCATTAACGGTTTAAATGAGTTCACTGCCAAAATGAGACGGTGCTCATTCACAGATCAAGGGTGCAATTTCGACTTTCATTTGGCCAGGACAATTCAGAGTGCTCTGGCGTCCTCCAACCTAATAATCATGTGTTTCATCGGTTCTCTCGGGCCTGATCACTACACACAGGGAAGATCTACCTTGGGCGAAGCCTCTAATTAAGCCCGCTTACACATTTTTTAAACCCTTCTACGTGGTGCCAACCCGTACACTCAGGTCTAGGAGATGGCCTGTGGTTTCCCTTAACCATGTTTATAGAGACCGCCGATATGGCGGCTGCAACCCGCTTCTATTTTTCGTGGGAGATGATACCGCAAAATATATAGTGTTGTTTAGTCCCCCTGAGGAGGATCGCATACACGGGCATACTTATATCTTCATATTTAGTGAACTACATTTAAAAATATCAATGACTCGTTGTGACTCTCATTCCCAAGCTGTAAAGTACTTGGCCCTTATTCTAGATAAAACAGTTTCCTAAAGTCCTAACATTGTGGAGAATGAGGAAAGTCCTGTAGAACAGTAATACTAGCCTTGAGCTCAATAATAGTACCCTCAAAGCTGGTCAACGAGTGTCTGACCTCATTATCAATTTATCTACGTAGACTTGTTGGGGTGCCTTTTCACTGCACCCTGCAAGTGCAAACCCTAGTGCCTGAAAATTTTTACTCCATTTGCCTAAGTTATAGAAAGGAGAACGAGGACAGCTTCTGCTAGGCTAAGGTTGTAACATCTTCATAGCCATACCTTCGACGAACCAGGTGAAATGGCTGGAATTGATATTAGCCTCAACCAATTTTTAACAGGCTCAAAACGCTTTGTTGATTTAGAAATGCCTCTGTGATCAATACTTAGGAGTTCTTGGCATCACAAAAGACCGGCGTCAGACCGAGAGGGATCCTAACCTCAACTTCATCTCTCATAAGTTTTGACATCTAACAGTAATGGGCCATTCACATACAACTTTCCTCGCTTTCCTTGACAATTCATACACTTCATTTCGATGGGAACGTACTCATACAAAATCATACATCGAACTCAAAGCAAATTTCTGAAGCAAAGCGAAGCAAAAGTTCTATGTGAATCAGCTATAAGTTTTCATTATGTTATCAAAAACAAAATACTGATTGATCTTAAGTAATGATATGCATTGTTATACTCGCAACCTCTTACAGAGTATAATAGTTTTGTTCACCTAACGGTTGTTTGTATCTCAATAATCAGATTAGTATAGGTTATATATATAAATGATCAGTGAAGAGCGAGTTGAAATCACTGTCTGTCGTCCGTCCTCTGTCCCCTCCGTCTCTCGTCCGTCGTCGTCGTGCAAGCTCTAACGAGTAAATGAGATATCTTGATGAAACTTGGTAACTGTTCATGGTACCTGAGACGGTTGGTATTGCAGATGCGTAATCGGACACCACGCCACAAAACGCCATTAATCAAAACAAATAACTTGCCATAACTAAGCTCCGAATAAGATAGCACTTTATTTGCAGGATCACATTAGGAGAGGGCATCTGCAGTTAAAATTTTTTAAAGTGGCGTGGTCCCTCTAATAGGTTTAATGTGCATATCTTAATAATGCTATAACAAATTCACTGGAAAATGTTTTTGCACTTCATTGACGGTGTGAAAATAGTTGAAATCGGTACACACCACTATTTCCATCCTTTTTCAATTCCATCATGTTCTTTCTTACTATGCATATCACGCAACAATGATTATATCGGGGTAAAACTTGCGTGAATATACGTTTAATGTATGCCATTGTGACCAAATTGTCTCATAAACTGTTCAAGCCCTAAAGTCTAAATGTGGAACAGTCCTGAAGTTGACCTTCTACCGAAAATATCAGCCAATCAAAATCTCAAACGATTTACCATTGAGTTTGCGAAGTATAAATGTTCGTTACATCCGAACCCTTCCTTACTTGTTGTTTTGCATTTTGAACTTAAAAATATAAAATACATATAAAAATTTTAACTGACTACATTTACATTGTGTTTACTTCACTTAAAATATAGTCGGTGAACGCAGACTTTATTGCTATATGAAAAGCAATTTGGAAAGTATGTCGTTAATAATTCAGCAAAAACTGGATCGAAACCAATTTTAAGCTTAATTTGGGCGTTTTAAGCAATAAAACCGACTTTTTGCGTCATTTATAACTATGGGTGAGACTTGTTTCTACAACCATATACAAATTGAAACAATTACAGTGGACTGATATCTGTTTCACAGGCAGAGCACAACAGCAAAGAAGTTATGGCATCAGTTATTTGGGATGCAAAGAAATTTTGTGGCTATATCTACGCAGAAAAGTAAAACAATTAACTCTGAATATTGACAGCCTTTGGATCAGCTGGATGAAAACATTGGCGAGAAAAGACCTGGTTTGCAACACAACTCATTTTCATCAAGACCTGCTCGGTATTTAAACAATCACAAAATTCAAAGAATTAAAGTACGAACTGCTTGAACATCCATCGCATATTTTTCATTTCAGGCGGAACTTTTCAACCAACCTGTATAATCGGGCATCCGCATTACTCTGCAACAGGAAGGGAAGCTTAGTCGCCCACTTTGTTCGGGATGAGCTTAGCGTTAGAATATCCTGATCACAGCAGGTTGCAAAGGTACCTAAGGTAGGACGGAAGACTATTCACTGGCGAAATCGTAGACCAATTAGTCTCAATTTCCTACCTAAAAGGATGGAAGACTATAGTTCACGAAATAAGTCAGAACGCTGAAGATCGCACTAACGCTCAAGCATGCCTATATGTCAGATTACTGGACAATGAAGAATCAAGCATTCTCAAAGTGCTTTGACAATGCTCTACGCAAATGTATGTACTGCAAACTAGGATAGCTGAGAACACTGTAGGTGTATAAATCTCTGTGTATGACAAGAGGTTGTCTACAGGTGGAGTATTTCCTTTATTATAACCTAGTCATGGGTGAGCTGCTAACTAACTATGGATCGGTTGTCAGGGTACAGGACGGCATTGATATATTAGCAGAGGGAAATTCAGAACACTCTGCGATATTCATAAGGGACTAGGCCTGGCCAAGGGATGGTACAATACGGTTGGTAGATCTACCCGTCGAAACGATCATCGTCCCCAAGAGAGATTCCTGCCAGGACTTAGCTAACAAGCCATTTATTACCGGATAAACATGTCGAGAGACCGATTTTACATATGAGCGGCGGCTTGGCTGGCCGATTTCGTAGACTTCAACATCAAACGCAAAACTTTGTCATCCTGCATCGCGAGCAAGGCGTTCATAAAATAGTTGCTCCAAGTTCAATTGTCATTTAGGCATTTCCTAAGTTTCATGTACATATTATTTAGGAAAGCTATTTCAAAAGCGAGCATTTGCTTTTAAAAAAGCCCAAATGTGGTATTTGTTAGAATTAAAAGTCCTGTATAACTAACTCAGAATATTTTAAAATAATTGGTTATCGACCAAATAAAAACTCGTTTTGAAATACTCCGCTAGTGGTCGAAAGCAGTTCGAGAGGAACATTACATAAGAACAATTGGAGCGATAGAATTCTAAACAATCATATCTGTTTCGGCCAAAATGAACGACGCGGTGGAGCTCTTTCAAATGTACAAAAATTTAGCACACCTGACGATCAGCTTTCAGGTAACATCTTTTCATATTCATACATATATTTATATAGAAATTTAATTAGAAAATAGATACCACAAATCCTTCTAATTATAAACGCGGGCAAAAACGAAGAAGAGGTATTGCTAACCATTAACAAAGTGGACCCACTTAAAACAATATGTATGTTGTATTAAATAAAATTATATTTTATTGCATAATAGAAAGTAACTGTTATTAATGTATACCTCAATTAATTAATTTTATTTATTAAACGACAACAATTTTGGTTCCAAAACTTTAGCCGTTATTTCGTACAACTGCATTTTTCTATCATGCTCTACTTGTTGGCGTTGCTCTTGTGCAATTAGATCCTCTTCTGCATATTTAAAAGTTCCATTTGACTTTGTAAAACAGTGTGCTGCAACGCGTTGTTATCCGGATTATTCTATCCATTCGATTATTAAAAGATAAATGTATAATTATGTGCAATAGTTTTAATAAATTTTAAAGGTTTTACTGTTTTCGCGGCAGGTGCGGTCATTCTTAGTAGATGGAGCCGATGTCTCTGGAGTATCTGATACGTCTTCGGATAATATGCTGGTGTTAACATCAAATGACTTTTCGGAATATTTTGGTTGAGAAACACCTATTTCAAAAACACCTTAATTAACATTTTAAAAGTGTATATCTCTCATAAATTTAATATAATATTATCGCGTAAATTTATACTTGCATTTTAATGGTGTAATGTCATTGCAACTCTTTTTATTGGCTGGTTTGGCGAATAAACTTCTGATGTTGTAGTCAACAGAAGTTTGCAAATTTTTCCGCTGCTATTTTCTTCTGATTTTTAATTGATGGTGCTTGGGATTTCGTCAGTGAATTTTGCCAATGGACTCCAAAGCCTGTGCAAGTTTAATGCCGCCCACTTTTCTACCTCGGGACGCTGGTTTTGAACCCGTTTAAGCGTGGAAGATTATAGTTCACGAAATAAGGTCGAAGACGCTGAAGATCGCACCCTAACATGCGAATCAGCATGCCTATAAACAGATAGGTAACTATACCGCTCTGTACGTTAATCGGTAGTCAAAGTTCACTGGACAATGAAGAATCGCCTACTTAGATATCGAAAGTGCTTTTGACAATGCTCTCGCAAATGTATGTACTGCAAACTGGATAGCTGAGAACACTGTAGGAGATACTAAGATTCGTCTCGGTATGACAAGAGGTTGTCTACGGGTGGAGTATTGTCCCTTTTATTATAGAGCCTAGATCATGGTGAGCTGCTAACTAACAATAGGATCGGTTGTCAGGGTACACGGACGGCATTGATATATTAGAAATTCAGGAACACTTTGCGATATCGTGCAAGGGACTAGGCCTGGCCAAGGGATGGTACAATGGTTGGACTGAAGATCTACCGTCGAAACGATCATCGTCCCATTTACCAAGAGAGATTCCTGCCAGGACTTAGAACCTTAACAGCCATTTATTCAGATGGATACAACATGATCGAGACCGATTTTACATATGAAGGGCGGCTTGGTCTTCAAGACAGATTTCGTTAGGACTTACTATCAAAACGCAAAACTTGTATCTGCGCATGCATCTGCAGAGCAGCATGCGTATATAAAAATAGCTAGTATGTCGTTCATAAAAATGTTTGCTCCAAGTTCATTGCTTTGAGATTTCCTAAGTTTCATATGACATAAAATTTATTTGAGCAGAAGCTATATTCAAAAGCGAGCATTTGCTATTTTTACATAAAAGCCCAAATGATGTTTTTAAGTTAAAAAGTCTGCTGTATAACTAACTCAGAATATTTTAAAATATGGATTTACGACCTACACCAATAAAAACTCGTTTTGAAATAATATCTCCGCTAGTCAGCAGAAGTTCGAGAGGCATTACAAATTAAGAACAATTGGAGGCGATAGCAATTTAAACAATCATATCTGTTTACCGGCCAAAATGAACGACGCGGTGGAGCTCTTTCAAATGTACAAAAATTTGCCTTTTTACCCTACATAGGCGATCCAGGCTTTCAGGTAAATATCTTTCATATTCATACATATATTTATATAAATTTATACTAAAGATACAAATGTTTAAGTTGGTGGGCTAAGATCTTGGCGTTTATCAAACTACCGTTCAAGTGTCAAAATAGTCGATATTCTTATAGAGGATGTAGAATATCTTTAACACCATGGTTGATAACACGTCGTTGCTCGTAACCTCTTGCACCGATGGAAATAATATCAACAGAATACAACGAAAGAGCGTTGTTTAATCAGCATAAATTTATTTCTATGGTTAAAGTCGCAGATTTTGACCGTTAGGAGATATTTAAAACAGTGAAGAGTTTGAGTGGCTAAAATGTTCGGTTACATCCGAACTTAGCCCTTCCTTACTTGTTGTTTTTGCATTTTGAACTTAAAAATATAAAAAAGAAATACATATAAAAAATTTTAACTGAACTACATATTTACATTGTGTTTTTACTTCACTTAAAAAATATAGTCGGGTGAACGCAGACTTTATTGGCTATGTGTATGAAAAAGCAATTTGGAAAGTTAGTGTCGCACACGTTAATAATTCAGCAAAAACTGGATCGAAAACCAATTTCTCAGCTTAATTTGGAGCGTTTTAAGCAGAATAAAACCGACTTTTTGCGTCATTTTATAACTATGGGTGAGACTTGTTTCTACAACCATAATCCTAAATTGAAACGATTACAGTGGACTGAAGCTATCTGTTCAACTCCAAAGCAGGAGAAGTCACAACGAGCAGCAAAGAAGGTTATGGCATCAGTTATTTGGGATGCAAAAGAAATTTTGTTGGCTAATTATCTGCAGAAAAGTAAAACAATTAACTCTGAATATTATTGCAGCCTTTTGGATCAGCTGGATGAAAACATTGGCGAGAAAAGACCTGGTTTGCAACACAAAAAACTCATTTTTCATCAAGACCTGCTCACAAAGGTATTTAAACAATCACAAAATTCAAAGAATTAAAGTACGAACTGCTTGAACATCCATCGCATATTTTTTTCATTTCGAGCGCAGAAACTTTTCAACCAACCTGTATAAGTCACCAGGCATCTTTTCAGCACTTCTGCAACAGGAAGGGCAAGTCTTGCCCACTTTGTTCGGGGATGAGCTTAGCGTTAGCGAATATCCCTGATCCATAGCAAGTTGCAAAGGTACCTAAGGTAGGACGGAAAGACTATTCACTGGCGAAATCCTTAGACCAATTAGTCTCAATTCCTTCCTACTAAAAAGGATGGGAAAGACTATAGTTCACGAAATAAGGTCGAAGACGCTGAAGATCGCACCCTAACATGCGAATCAGCATGCCTATATAGTCCAAAGTTCACTGGACAATGAAGAATCGCCTACTTAGATATCGAAAGTGCTTTTGACAATGCGTCTCACGCAAATGTATGTACTGCAAACTAGGATAGCTGAGAACACTGTAGGTGATACTAAGATTCGTCTCGGTATGACAAGAGGTTGTCTACAGGGTGGAGTATTGTCCCTTTTATTATAGAGCCTAGTCATGGGTGAGCTGCTAACTAAAATAGGATCGGTTGTCAAGGGTACACGGACGGCATTGATATTTAGCAAGAGGGAATTCAGGAACACTTTCTGCGAATACGTGCAAAGGGACTAGGCCTGGCCAGGGATGGTACAATACGGTTGGACTGAAGATCTACCCGTCGAAACGATCATCGTCCCATTTACCAAGAGAAGATTCCTGCCAGGCATTAGAACCTTAACAAGCTTTATTACCAGAAGGATGTACACATGATCGAGAGACCGTTTTTTACATATGAAGCGGCGGCTTGGTCTTCGAAAGCAACACAGATTTCGTTAGGACTTCAACAATCGAAACGCAAAACTTGCCTGCATCTGCGCATCGCGAGCAAGGCGTTCATAAAAATTAGTTTGCTCCATTTCAAGCAATTGCATTTGAGCATTTCTAAGTTTCATATGACATAAAATTTATTTGAGCAGAAGCTATATTCAAAAGCGACATTTGCTTAAATTTTATACATAAAAGCCCAAATGTGAGTATTTGTTAGAATTAAAAGTCTGCTGTATACTAACTCAGAATATTTTAAAATAAATTGGATTACGACCTAACACAATAAAAAAACTCGTTTTGATAATACTCCCGCTAGTGGTCGAAACGAAGTTCGAGAGAGGAAGCATTACAAATTAAGAACAATTGGAGGCGATAGCAATTCTAAACAATCATATCTGTTTACCGGCCAAAATGAACGACGCGGTGGAGCTCTTTCAAATGTACAAAAAATTTAAGCCTTTTTTACCCTACATAGGCGATCCAGGCTTTCAGGTAAACATATCTTTTCATATTCATACATATATTTATATAGAAATTTAGTTAGAAAATAGATACACAAATCCTTCTAATTATACGCGGGCAAAACGAAGAAGAGTATTGCTAACCATTAACAAAGTGGACCATTAAACAATATGTATGTTGTATTAAATAAATTATATTTTATTGCATAATGAAGTTGTTATTAATGTATACCTCAATTAATAATTTTATTTATTAAACGACAACAATTTTGGTTCCAAAACTTTAGCCGTTATTTCGTACAACTGCATTTTCTATCATGCTCTCTTGTTGGCGTTGCTCTGTGCAATTAGATCCTCTCTGCATATTTAAAAGTTCCATTTGACTTTGTAAACAGTGTGCTGCAACGCGTTGTTATCCGGATTATTCTATCCATTCGATTATTAAAGATAAATGTATAATTATGTGCAATAGTTTAATAATTTTTAAAGGTTTTACTGTTTTCGCGGCAGGTGCGTTCATTCTTAGTAGATGGAGCCGATGTCTCTGGAGTATCTGATACGTCTTCGGATAATATGCTGGTGTTAACATCAAATGACTTTTCGGATATTTTGGTTGAGAAACACCTATTTAAAAAACACTTAATTAACATTTAAAAGTGTATATCTCTCATAATTTAATATATATTATCGCGTAAATTTATACTTGCATTTTAATGGTGTAATGTCATTGCAACTCTTTTATTGGCTGGTTTGGCGAATAAACTTCTGATGTTGTAGTCAACAGAAGTTTGCAAATTTTCGCTGCTATTTTCTTCTGATTTTTAATTGATGGTGCTTGGGATTTCGTCAGTGAATTTTGCCAATGGACTCCAAAGCCTGTGCAAGTTTAATGCCGCCCACTTTTCTACCTCGGGACGCTGGTTTTGAACCCGTTTAATAAACATAAAAATATATCTATATTTACATACATACGTACACAAAAAGAAAATACGACAAACACTTTCGGGAAGTATTAAAAACCCATATTTTTTTTCTCCATATTTTCTTCTATGTATTATACAACATTCATGAATAAATTACCGCTCTTGTTATAAATAAAATGATATTCGAACTAAATCCTTTGACAGCTGACAGATTTGAAATCTAAGTTAAGAAAATAATTGATATTGTGACGAACATATGTAGATGATAGAACAAAATTGCACCGACGATAAATTGCCAGAATCAACTAGCAGTGAATTCGTAGTTGTCAGAATGGTCTAGAGGCGAAGTTTTATTAAAGATATACTATGTAAGGGCTGACAGATTGTGCAGCAG